ATTATCTTCGGGGCCAAGTTGAAAAAGTAGATTATTTTTTGCTTAAAAGAAGATATACTTTTTTAGGATATATTTTTGAAAGGCCCTGGATAGTATATCCAAGATATATCATGCATGATGTCATGTACTAGGTCGTAGAAGTTCTTGTCACCCATTGGCTAAATATACTACAATCTCGACTCGCAGATTGAATACACTGTAGTGCGACAATATTAAGATAACGGAAATATGGTGAAGTACCACTGGGGACATTTTTCCGTCGTTCCCTGTAGAGCAGTATCGACGATCGAAGTTGTGGCACTGTTCTTTGGGTCGACGTAATGTCTACACAAGTTATGATAGCATCATCTTTGCCGCTCAAGACTGGTAAACCAGTGATCCAGTCAATCGAAACTGCGTGCCACATTCCTCAAGCGGCTTGATGGGAATCATCTTTCCATGAGCTTTAGCGGTCCATGTCTTGTAACGCGCGCAACATAGAGTTCGATGTCGTCGTCAAGTCCGCTCCAAGAGTACCATTGCATGATGCGCAATTGCGTTCTTCTTACGCCTGGATGTGCCGTGGAATTTGTATCATGTCTTTGCGAAGTGATCTTGCTTTCAAGTTGTCGTCACATGGCGCACAACTTCCACAATTGGTTCTTGTCTTTAGGATGTGTACATACGGTTTTTGAGGATCTGACGCTGTCTTCGAACTCCTACGTCTTTGCGTAGGCTTTGACCAAAGTACTGGAGTCTTCAAAACCTTTTCGCCTGCCATACCGAGGAAACTCAGTAGCTCTTGCGGTTTGAAGGGTTCGAATTCGTTACTCAACGACTTTTCAAAGTCGATTGCACTGAAGAGGTTTTCGGGATGCCGCGAGGCCAGCAATTGATACCATGCTATTGCCTGTCCTGGGTCTGCCACAACCATAGAAAGGCATCGCGGTTGACAACTTGAGTTCTTCACGCAACGTATGCTCTCAGTGATCAGCCGAATTTCAGCTTGCCAAACTGAGTATTTCTCGCGCAATTTTTACAACCAAAGAAAGGAGGTATATGTTGAAATTCCTCGAGACATGCTGAGCACGATGATTTGGTCTACTATCAATTTCAAGAGTTCCAAAAGGAGCAAATACACGTTGAAAAGCCCACTCAAGCAGGACTCTCAATGATTAGCCGAATTTATACTGGATTAAACTATGAGGAATATGAAGGGTAAAACCTTCAATCATATCATCTTGTAGAGGTTTAAGATATTGTACAGGAATAATATTTTGAAGGAGGGGGTTTTATCATAGGAGAATTGAACTTTTTCGAGGTTATGTAGCTCACACTTGTTTCCTTTGAATTCTAATGTATTTCACATTATAAAATCATGAAGGATTTAGTTGCTGAAGTAATGTATTTGATCTAATCACAAGGTTCATTCGATTCTATTGGGTGATGGAGCTCGGCTGATCACTAAGAGACTAGGTTAAAACAGGTTTTATGCCATAAAAAACGTCTTAACGCGATGGATGTGCAACTCTATACCTTAATTCAAATGCCCTAGGTACGCAAGCATTGAAAGCCCTTCTACTTGCCGTTCTATTGCACGAAACGACCCTTTGGAGTCTTCACCTTTTTACGCTTGAGGCTGTTTTTTCCAGTGAGACCATCATGCTCTCCGCCGCCGCCTCTTGCTTTGCATTTTTGAAAATATTCCAGTTCTGCGCCGTGTTTTTGCCCATACGTGGGGGTCCGGTGACTTGTCTTCACACGTCCAAATGTGTCTCCTAGAACGGGCTCTCACCCTTACTGACTCTGACGCCAGGTACGAAGGAGAATCGTCGGTGGAAACGTACACTGGGCGATCACAAACTCAAACCTGGTCGCTACGAAAGGTCGCCGTCGAACCCTTGCCTGAACCAGATAGAGTATCGTATCCTCACAACCTTCGCGAAAGGTGGAGTCATTGAACCAACCAAGAATTGCTACCGACTGTGGTGTTGGGGGCACAGAGGACATTCTAAAAGTACACATTGTCTAGACATCCTGCTCTAACGGTTCTTTTTTACTTTTCATCGCTAGCGGTGTTCTTAACGGATGTTCCTTGCACGGCAATCTCTACTGCCTAAGTTGTCAATCCAAGTCAATTTCGCTCTTGCATTGTTATACTACTATAATTGTGTTGCATGAGAGTTCGAATGGTATGGTTCCTGACTTGACGAGGTTGTCAAATGCTCCTTCGATTCTCAAAAAGGACAAATCCGTCCAGGACTAAAGTGGAGCTTTTGTCAGGCACGCGCCAGATTTTTGTATGAAAGGCAGTGTCCAAGCACAGTTTTTTGTGCGCCAAAGTCCCCACCATCCGAAAAAATTGCTGTATCTAGTATTACGAATAATCGGCTACTAAATGTTTAACATGTTCTGCATCTTGCCGTTTTCTTAGCTTCTCTTCATTGAAGGAAGAACAAAATCTTGCTCGAAATAGACCATTATAGAGGGAACGAAAAAACTTACAGACTTGTCAATTCGGAAGAGAATATGACCGACCACATGCCAACACAGCTAAACCTATCCCATTTTAGTAATGGCTAGCCATATACGCATACAGGGTTATTTTTCAAGGTACTCGATTCATATCAGCTACCTTGGAATGCAGCAGAAGATTCGTACGGTGACAGGACAGCGTATTTATGAAGCTTCCCTACTTCGCACTATTTTCTGTAACTATCGACCATTCCAAAACATTTCCTATCAAAAATAGATTGACGACATACATGTTCAATCATTCTTCAATCTGCCCAAAATACCATATCCCAAATATTATTCGGGTGGTTTTGACCCCTGCTCCAACAGCCGTTTTAACAACTGCAACATTCTTTTACCCCTAACTTCGATCGTTTCTATGTGGGCTCTTGCTGGGTGGTATGGAAAGGGCCGCGGGCACTGTCGAGGGATCGCTTTGGCCTAGCCCATTCACTTTTTGGTGTCCCGGACTAACGCCACATCGAGTTGCTCTGCAACCACTAAGCATATTCAGTTTCCTGACATACATCATAAAGTCACGCTGATACTTGGCAAGCCCTTTACTGCGATTGTTCTTCTATACTGATCTTCCGCCGATCGGTAGCAAGGTAGATGCCAATCGTACTGGCGCGATGAAGGGGGTAAAATTGCTTGTCAGTTGGCCAAATTACCACCACTGTGGTTGGTTTAAACTGTCCTGTATAACTTCATCTGGCGCAATATACGAATATCGCGTCAATGCCGTTGGTTTAAACTGCCCTGTATAACTTCATATAGATTGACTTTCGAATTTGTAATCTGGTGTGAGGATGCTATAAAGCATGATCCTCCGAAGATGTGAATTAGGAGTATTTACTTTTCCGAATTGACATGCGAACTAAAGTATACTCTTCACTGTGAGCGAAATTTCCAATAGAGTTGATTTCGACATTGAACATGAATGCATGAATTTACTGTTACGCGTAGCTCTATCCGGCGGCTGGTCGTTTGGTGATCAGCCACAGCGCCCTGAATGAATTCGCATCCGTGGAACAAATTCGTTGTCTGGTTGGGGAAGTTCCTGCGGGTGGCAGTGCTCTAGGAGCAGGCAGACCATGTCGCGCCACTTGCTTTTATCTTGAGCGTACGGGCGAAGTTGGTGGGTATCCGCGAACGACTGGGCGCGCAGGACGTGGTTCAAGCGGCGGAGGACTTGGTCGAGGATGGTTGGCAGAGAGGTGAGGGTACGGCCAGGCCACTTGCGGACGTGGCGTGGGGCAATGTTGTTCATCATGTGTAGGTTGGCTGGGTTGTCAAATGGTCGGCGCAAGATGTGACCGAATAGAACCCAGCGCGAAGGAAGGAGTGTGTTCGAAGGAGTGTGTATCTGAAGGGTCGCACTCATAGCGAGCGTAGAGGGCCTCGTTGGATATACGATGGGTGTAGAAGGTTCGGAAGATACACCTGAGTTGACGGCGGTGGAAGGCCTCCAGACGTTCAGTTCGGGAGTGGGTGAGTGCCCATGTGCCACAGATGTAGGTGAGGACAGTAATGACGTAGCAGTTGTAGATGCGAGGGTGTGTGTGCTCCTCGACGAGTTCGTTGCGAAACCAGAGGTGCCTCGGTGAAAGGCTGCGTGGGCAAGTGTGAGGCGCTGTGTCAATTCGGTCGCATCGTCGAGGTCTGTGACGTTGAACTTTGATGGTTCACATGAAGGAGATCAATTCATATTCTCAATGGTCTAAATCTCTTTCCTATCGCAACGTATTTATGAACTGGAGCAAGAAAATTAGCCATACACATTTGTTGTGGGATGCAATACATATAGGACGTGTTGTGGTAGCTCATCTTGTAGCTGTTGTCGCGCCTGGTGGATGGAGTGTTCATTGTCGCTAGTTGGGGCAACCATTATGAAGAAACTCTATGGAACGTAAGGTCCAATAATTATTTCCACCTCAGTACATGTACTTGTCGCATTTTCGATGGTGCAAGCACATATTTGCAAACAGCCAACGATCGATGACTTGACAAAGTTCCTCGAAACGATCCAGCAGAGCTGTGAACACTGGAGAGACTTTGCCGAACA